AAAAAAAAAAAAAAAAAAAAAAAAAAAAAAAAACAGAAAATAAAGAAACATGGAGGACTAATGGACCCTCTGAAATACACTAAACAGCTAACTTCCTGTAGCTCTGATAATATATCAGAAACCAAAGCTGAAAGATTAGCACCCTCCAGGGCTCTATTCTGGGACTGTGAGCACTCATGGTTTTTCAGAACATATGGTACCAGGCATATGAAGTTCATTTTTTAGACTCAAGGATGTGTGAAGGAGAATATGTGGAGGATTCCAACCTTGGATAAAATTTGTTACATTTTTTATGAATATATTACTTTTATGTAAATTGGAAAAAAGTGTAAGGAAATTAAATTGTAATACACTTATTTTCTGTGTAATTTTTAAAATATAAATTCCTAAGGCATTAAATACCTGTGAGAAAAGTTTATTTTTTAAGATAGTGTGCTGCAAAAATACATTTGGCACTTCATTTGAAAGAATTTGAATCTCAAATATTTTACAGACCTCTAGCATAGCTTATACACAGAAATATTAAAGCATTAACCTTGATGCCATTCTTCTCTCCAATGTTAATGTTTAAGCCATAGAAACACATTAAATTGAAATGTAACGGACATACACTATCTCAAAGATACATAGGATATTTATTAGAAGATTAAAATCACATAGGCTTATGAACAGCATGAGGCTTACTTTCTGACTCTGATACCTGGGTAAGACATTCACAAATGTGTAATTCATTACATTTTTTTCATGTTATTTACACAAGTAATATAATTCACAATACCTTTCTGATAGACACTGAATGGAATTATGTTAATTTCAAGTTAGATACTCACTAAGTTTGAAATCTTATTTTCCATCTGAAGTCTGAACTAAATTAGTTCCATAAAATAATACAGAATTTTTAAAATACGAGTAATTGAGATCATTGCGCAGGTAGTCTTGCAGTGGTTTTTTATAAACTACTGAGCACCTGTCATTTTAGGATGCATTGTAGAAATAAAGAGCACAGACCTTGGTTTCAATTTGCTTAAAACTGTATGGTAAAAAACAAGAAGTAACCATGAGAGAGAAAGCCAGAGGGCATATGTAAATGTACCACATTCATTGATAAAATATTTATAAGGTTCCTCCTTTGTGCCAGGTATTCAGCTAAGTATGGAGAACTGGTGTTGAACTAATTGCTGCTGTCCCTGTGCCCATGGGGTCTGTAATCTAGTGAGACGAGAAAAAGCCAGGCTCATGTCGCCTTGATTCTTTGATTACAGTAATGCTCTTCCTTGATTATAATTAAAATGATGATAATCAAAAATAACAGCCTAGCAAAGGTAAGATAGAATTCATAAAAGCAAAAGTTGAGTGGTAAAGATTGAGCCTTAAAGCTTTAGAATTTGGATTGAAACTTGTTTGAAAAATCAAAGACCAATGGAAAAAGTTAAAAATTCCTTAACTGGTAAAGAGAGCCTATTAATCAGTTTTATAAAAAAAAAAATGAAAAAAATCAAGCAAAAATAAACACAAGAGATACGAATATGCAATTCAGAAAAGCAAAATATCTGGTACACATAAAGAACACTTACAATAGCCCTGATCAGTGAAATACTAACAAGTCTGTTTCCATTACCTTCCTACTAAATGTTTTTCTTACAGTTATCCTTTTCATCAACTTTTAAGTTGTTTTCAGTTCATTACTATTCTTATAAATATTCTCATATGTGCATTTCCCAGGAACAGACAAAGTATTTTAGTAGAATACATTCATAATAGAATTTATTTTTTACCAAAGGCAAGCCGTACTTTACCACAGGCAAAACACTCAATTTTCTGTCCTCTCCTGGGGGAAAGGCTAAGATCTTTGGCTTCCTGGCACACTTCAGCCAGACAGATAATATAACCTTCTGTTGATAAGGTTGTTAAAGCTAGAAAGCAAGGCTAATGAAGCTAATAACAGCCAGCACTAAATCAGAGTGTTTACCACATTCCAGGCGCTGTGCTTTTTCATGTATAATTTAATCCTCACCACTCTGAGACAGATTCTGTTATTCTCATTACAGATACAGAAACAGAGGTTGAGAGGTTTTTACCCTTCAAAGTTGTCTATGGTTTGGCATCTTCTGAGTAGGCCTCCACAGTGGACTTTCACTTTATATCTTGTAAATTCACACATTAAGCCTAGACATGCCCTTAATAAGATTAACCACAGTTCTGGATTGGACCAGTTACAAGAAAACTAGGGCCCTCACCTGCAGTGCAGAAGCACTACGGGCATTCAGTCATTGTTGACACTTTCACCATCTCACAGTAGAATTAGGAGGGAAAGAAGGTGTGAAAACCATTTGCCTTCTGTGACTATTGGATAGATATCCCTTCCATTTTCCACTCGCAAGTCACTGCACCTCTGAAAATACCAACACACAGGTGTTAGAATCATGTTCTTTAAGAGAGGTGAGGGTGGAGTGTCTTGCAAATGATATTTTTCTTTCAAATGAGATTTTTATAATCTGTAAAAGTATTTTCTGTTTTTTTAAAGGTACAGTAAATAACATTTGTAGTCATCTGGACAAAGGACATGACAATAAAATTAACTGAATTGAGGGCTCATTATTTAACTGCCCAGCCAATTACAAACAGGAAACATTATATATAAAACTATACCTTACATAAAAACAATTTTCCCCCTACTGTATGGTAAAAAACTAAAGCCCTGCAAGCTTCCTACTCTGTAAGTTTTAATGGTGGTCCCTCCCAACGCTGCATAAAGATTTCAAATCATCATTGAGTTTGAGTTCTGAAGTGTGCACTAAGGAAACATTTTCCTTCTCTTTTCTAGGTGGAGGTAAAGCCATATGTGCTGGATGACCAGATGTGTGATGAATGCCAGGGTGCACGCTGTGGTGGAAAATTTGCCCCCTTTTTCTGTGCCAATGTCACTTGCCTGCAGTATTACTGTGAGTTTTGTTGGGCAAATATCCACTCTCGTGCGGGACGCGAGTTCCATAAGCCATTGGTGAAGGAAGGTGCTGATCGCCCACGTCAGATCCACTTCCGCTGGAACTAAGAATGGCGCACTGGCCTCTGTTGAGCAAGGAGAGAAAGGGTGCATGTGGCTTACTGTGTCTGAAGATACTGACATGCAGAAGAAATAAGTGCATTCTTCTGCTTTTCACCCCAGCTATCAATACATGCATCTTTATCAGCAGCCAAAACACTACAAGCCTCTTGTTTTTCACCAAAACCCTACATCTCAGGCTTACTAATTTTTGTGATATTTTCATGTTAAAATAAAATGTTTTTTTGTATTTCCTCCAAGTTATTTTTATATGTAAAGTTAAAATTAGATATGAGAATGTTTTGCGTAGGGGCAAACACAGTCTGCTGCTATATAGTGGGTGAAGCGTGCACTTATTTCTAAACATGGGTTTTTAACTTCAAGATCTGCCCCAGTACTTTACCAAAGGTAGCAAAATAATAGTGAAGATGGAATATGTCTGCTACAAATGCTTATTTTTATTGTTGCTATTTTCAGTGTATACATAAACTAAAAATTAGGGTTGATTTTTTTGCTCTCCATTTTGACTTGCAAGAAATAATACCTCAAGATAATCTGATTTATTAGCTATTTTTAAACATTTTTAATCACAAGCTGTATTAGCTTTGCTGCTATATAGGTGTTATGTGTAAATGCCACCTATTAATACGGGATTGAAAACGTTAGAGACACACTGCATTGCAGATAAAATGCAGGCAGCACAATATGGCCTAAACTGCCATAGTTTTAGAATGTGAAAAAAAATGCATGTTTACTTACCTGTATACACCATATGCATGCACTAGAATAATTAACAAGAGGTGAGGTATTGCAAATGCTCAAAAAAGCTCTCTTGAGTCTAGGTAGCATGAACAAATGATAAAATTTGTTTAAAAAAAGCAAACTTGCATGCATTTATTGTGACTTCAAGTTAAAAACGTTGTCCTACATGTGTACAATATGCAAATTAGTTTTAGATTAGAGAGTGCAGCCATTTTGTGATCTGGTCAGTAGTGGAATTCGATTTTATGCAGACTGGATGTAATATTTGTAATCCCTGTGCAATTTTGTGATGTGCGGTTCTAATTCATGTGCAGTGATATAGTATAGATAAAAGACTGAATGAAAGAAAAATACAGGAATTCTAAAGAAAGTTGATTTTAGCCCCTTTGATAGTTCATGGTTAGGACATCCATTATAAACCAAAGATGGCCAGCACACTGCTAACCAGTCACCAAATGTAAGACCCGTCAGTAACCCATATTTTAAAAAATGAATTTTATAGAAGAATGCAGAACTTTAGTAAACCTAAATAAAGTCAAAATGGAGATGGGGAAAATATACAGATGGCTAGTTGCATAAAATTAAAGTTTACCTTTAAGGCAATGGTGAAATCTGGCTTAACTTGCTTACATGTTTGACCTATATATATTGGGGGGGTCTTCTGTCTAAACTGGGGTCACTGTTGCATGGAACATTGTTGTTCTTAATGGTTAAGAATTGCTTTTTTAAAATTTTTGATGAAGGAATTTTGGTAATGACTTTGCTTGCAGTTTTAAGGTTTTTTTGTTTTTGTTTTTGTTTTGTTTTTTCCTTTTTTGAGAAAGTAGCATGGAAACATGCAATAGTTAATGAGTTTCTCTTGGTACTGAACACTATTAAAATATCATTATTGATATTTTTTCTCTTTAGAGCATTTTAATGCAACTAGCCCCTATATTTTAATGTAAGAGTTACTCTGAAATCTGCGCAAAGCACCCAACAATGGTAAATGTTTTGTTTTGTTTTGTTTTTTTAATGCAGAACTAAGATTTTTGACTCTAAAGAGAGAAAATTACAGGGGTGTTGCCTTATAGCAAACCCTTGGGACAATCCTTCATGTGAGCAAAGTGTCGATGCTAATATCGGTTGTCTCTGGTGTGCTTTTTTGTACTGTAAAAATGTGTGGTTCATGTCTAACTCTGCTGTTTTATTGTGG